ATAGAGTTATATCTTTTTATTTTATATCAGATTCACACCTCATTGAGTTAGGACGATGAAAATCGATCTCTCTCCACAAGCCTTGGAGGTGATTGTAGTATGCTTCGATGGATCCTCCTCCTTGTCTGGGCCTTGTTAATTACCTTTCTCTTGAGGTGGTATCAGTTCCATCAAAATAGGTTGTAGCCATGACATCCCAAACTGCTTTTGCAGTTGAAAATCGAGTGTAGTTGCTTATGAGAGTTGGTTCCATAGAGTTGATTAGACAACCCTTTACTATTGTGTTTTCTGTCCTCTATTTTCTGAAAGATGGATCTAACTCATGTGGTTGTGATAAATCGCCATTTATGTATCCCAATTTGTCTTTGCCTGAGATATGCATCTCCACAACTTGGGACCAAAGTTCATAGTTAGTATCATTAAGCTTGATGCCGATCGGTGCAGAAAGTGATTCATGGGTTGTTGCTGCTGGTGTTTGGGTGATTAATTGAGATAGTCTAGACGTGATGTCTGCAAGTATAGAGTCTTGTACAGCAGTTTGGGAATTTCCGGTTGAAGGAGTTTGATCCCCCATACTTTTTTCTTTCTGCTATTCTATAGAGAGATATGATAAGGTTCTAGGATCTTTTTTTTGCGATGATACCATGATAAAAAGTAAAGCTATTATAGTTGTACTATTGAAATTGTTACATAGGAGTTGCTTTATAGCATGAGCAACAACCTAATTTAGGAAGGAAATCACTAACGGCTATTTACATGATTTTAGGGATTCTCCAATATTCATGGATTACAGGTACCCAGTAATTCCTCCATATAATCTTCTAATTTATTCAACAATTGATGTGCATTAACCACATTTTCTTCCTAAAATGAAAATTGTCATATTTTGTGGAAGAGTAACTAAAGTTTACGATATGATAGTCAAATTTGAATAAATTTAACGAGGAAGAGTATATATTATTCTAGTTAAGCTTATATCACTAAATAATATGAGCAAAAGGAAAATTATAAATTGCACTTGAAAAAATATTACACTTATATAATATGGGTTAACCCATATTCAACCTGTCTATTTAACTCGCCCAAATCTGGCCCAACCCGCCCATTTACCACCACTACCTGCACGGTACATTGTGGGAAAACAATTGGATCCATTATCTATGATGACCGGAAAGGTCGTCTCGTGTTTTAGAACCCAATTCGGGGTTCCGAGGTCTTCAAAACCTCATTTTTCTTATTCTCGATTTGCGTGCGCAATCCGAGCGCGTTTCCGAAAAGCCTCTATGTGAAAATTTGGGAAAATATTAAGTTTCGCCTTTGAAAGTTGATTTTAGTTGACTTCGATCAACATTTTGAGTAAACGGACCCAGATACGTGTTTTGACGGTCCCAGAGGGTTTCTAAAAAAATATGGGACTTGGGCGTATGCCATGAATCGAATTCCGAGGTCTCTAGCCCGAGAAATGAATTTTTGAAGAAAATTATTAAACTGTAAATATAAAGGTTTTAAGAATTTGTTTAATAATTGATTTTGTTGATACCGAGTCCGTATTGTGGTTCCGAAGCCCGGTACAGGTCCATTATGATATTCATACCTTATCTGTGAAATTTGGTGAGAATCGGGACTGATCTGACATGATTCGGACCTTTGGTTGAGAAAATAGAACTTTTGAACTTTCTTGAAAGTTTCATGCAATTTGATGCTAAATTCGTAGTTCTAGGTGTTATTTTGGCAACTTGATCGCGCGAGCAAATCCGTATGATGTTTTTAGACTTGTGTGCATGTTTGGTTTGGAGCCTCGAGGGCTCGGGTGAATTTTGGATAGGTTACGGGATGTTTTAAACTTAGAAAATCTGCTGTGTTTGCTGCTTTTCGTATGCTGATACTTTGTGCTTCGCGTTCGCGAAGCAACTCTCACGAACGCGAAGTGCAACCTGGGCTGGGGATTTTGAAGAGGGATTTCAACACCAATTCATAGGTTTGTGTTCTTTAACTCTTTTCCTTCGATTTCCATCAACACCCATTAGATTTTTAGCCCTAAATCTTGTTCTTTCATGGTATTAGGAAGAATTGGGGATTATGTAAATTTGGGAATTCAGATCTCGATTTGGGATCGGATTGCGAAACTAATTACATATTTGGGCTCTTGGGTGAATGGATGAACGGGTTTTGGTCCGAACCTCAAGTATATACAAAGCGGGCCTGGGGTCGGTTTCTGACTTTTTTGGAAATTGTTGGGAAACTTGTAATTCTGCATTGGAATTGATTTATTTAGCGATAATTGATATTATTAAGTTAATTATGACTAGATACGAGTGGTTCGGAGGTTGAATCTAAGGGAAAAGCGGTGATTGAGGCTTGAGTTCGGCCGTGGAATCGAGGTAAGTGTTGTGGCTAACCTTAGCTTGAGGGATTAGGTATTGTTGCCTTATTTGCTATGTGATTAGTTTTGAGTACGACGTATAGGTGAGGTGATGAGTATCTATACGTTGTTGTCGGGTCATAGCGTGCGAGTGAGTCTTATACTTGTGACTGTTGTATTTCTTTATACGTACTGTTCATGCTTAATCTGGTTATTCTTTATGTTAAACAAGTCTTATTATGTTTTCCTGGTATTGGCTATTGGTTGAGTATTGACTCAAGCTGAGATTTATATTGTGAAGTTAAATGTTGAAATGAGGTTGGTGATTGATGATTCCCTTGCTGGGTTGTTATTGTTTTGTTTGTTTGGTGATGAAGAGTGTAAAGCATGAAGGGTGATGCCGTACAATAATGTGTGAGTGATAAATCACGAAGGGTGATGCCGTACAATATTCAGTGAGTGTTAATGCACGAAGGGTGATGCCGTGCCGTATTCTGAGAGTGATAATGCACGAAGGGTGATGCCGTGCCATGTTATGAGAGAGTTAATGCACGAAGGGTGATGCTGTGTCATTTCTGTTATTTCTTATGGTAAGGACGAGAGTAAAAGCACGAAACGTGATGCCGTGCACTGGTTTATCATGTTATTACTTCCGTTGGTGTAAAAGCATGTTATTTACTGTGTCTCGTTCTATTTCAGGATTTGACGTTCCCCTCAGCATGTTTTCCCCTCTCCATTATTATCTGTTTAGCTTCCAATTGTTGTTATCTTCTCGTATATGATTTAACTGCACAGGTTAGGCTCGGCACTTACCATTACATGGGGTCGGTTGTACTGATACTGCACTCTGCACTTTCTGTGCAGATTCATGTACTGGACCGCACTGACCAGAGTTGGGTTGCTGCCTTCAGTCCATCAGGAGACTCAAGGTAGATCTGCCGGCGTTCGCAGACCCTGGAGTCCCCTTCCATTTATCTTAGTTTCCCTGTTTTCTTTCATTTCGAGAACAGATGTATTTTCTTTAGACCAGTATTTGTAGAGACTCTTAGTAGTTTGTGGATTGTGACACCAGATTTTTGGGTAGTCGTGTATTAGTGTTTAAACTGTTATAGAATTTCTGCACTTCTTATCTTGTTTTATTTTAAATTATTGTTAATTACTGTTTTGACTAGTGATTAGCATGGTAGATCTTTATATGTTGGCTTGCCTAGCATTCTAAAGGTTAGGCGCCATCACGATCCCAATGGTGGGAAATTCGGATCGTAACATTATCATTAAGTGAGTCATTAAACATTGAGATAAACCTTAACGTTAACTCATCGATTTTGGTTGAACTTTCTTTTGGAATCATTGAGATTTGTGTCAGAATCCTATTGAACCTAAACATTGTATGGGGTTATAGGGGTTTGGAATTGTAAGGAGATTATTGCCCGATTTGATGCATGCGTTGTCTTCTAATAATTAAAATGAAGTTATTTATACTATGGACTATGGTGTGACAAGATTATTGATTCCAATTGGAAACTTATGTTAGAATCATGGTTCACTATGTTAGCTCCAAGATATGGTCAGAGTATTGACTATTTACCAACTATTTGGTTGAATAGAAAGCATGCATGGTGTTATGTGTGTAATTATTTCCTAAGTTTGTACGATACATTTGTTTATAGACTATTGCAGAAATATATTGAACTACTCCTTGGAATTGCATTCAAGCAACTGACGAAATTTATCAGTAAATGAGAATGTGATATGCTTAAGTTAACAAAGAACTAACTCGATCAAGATCCATTTTTTTTCCTACGTCAGTGATCCTGATCCATAAATAAGTAGAGCAGATTAGCAACCCCAATCGCTTATTATGCAAATTTGTTTAGGTAATTAAACGGTGTAAGGTTAGATCAAATGAAGGACTTCATATGGAGGTTCCACGAAACTAGCCCAAATTATCTTCTACCATCTATATTCGAGCCAACTGACCTCTGTGAAATCCAGACTTGGGCTGGATAAAAGTTTTGGGTCCAACTGAAGTGCATATTTTTCTCTATGAACTGATTAATTTGTCTTTTAGGCCTATTTTTTCCTAACTTATTGAAAAGATAAACCCGTCTTTTATGGTCCTGTTTTTACATCCGTTGTGGAAATTCGTCTTGGAAAGTTCTATTTGAATGGTAAAGTACTTTATATTATAAGAGTCTCTATTCTCAAAGCTCGAACTCGAAATATTTGATTAAAATAGAAGGATACTTACCACCCTACCATGACCTTTGACGGTCACTTATATACTTCGACTATGACAAATATTCTATAAAAAGAATGTAGTATCATCATTTCAACTTAAAATTGAAAATAATAAATTGCGTGATCGCATTTGAATTACTTCTTTACGATCCCGTTATCGGAGTAAATGGAATGAATATCAAATCCTCTAATTTTAGATTAATAAAGAATGGAGATTCAAGAAAACTAAAAGAAAGAGATTTAGGATGAATAAAAATCCTAAACGTGGTATGAAACGAAGATTTGAAGCTTTTGTAACCATACAAATACTCTCGACCCCTTTTTGACTTGTTTCGGACTACAAATTCCAAAAGTCTTCATTTTTTCTTCAACTTCGTGCCAAACAGGTTCACATAAATTGAAACGAAGGGAGTAGTGAATATCAAATTAGAAGGGCAATCAAGACGCATGTATAACAAGAATACAAGGATAATCCATTAACAAAATGATAGCCCAATATATTATTACGATACAAATCAGCTTAATTAGAATCATATGAAGGAATTTGAAGTTAAAGACCACAGGAGGACAACTCCAACAATTGCGTCTAGTCCAAACCATCTCTTTCCAATGTGACAGCAATCATTAGATTTAGGAGCACTTGCTGCACCAGCAGGGGCACCCGTGGGACTAGATCCAACTGCTCAAATTTCAAAAAAAAAAAAAAAAAAAAAAAAGAAAATTGTCAAGCTCCTCCAGATTTTTACACGATCAATATATTTTTAGTTAATTGTAGCAGGTAAGTTGTCTTATTTTCCAGGTTACTAATATCATTTTTCCAGTGGCTACTTGTAGTTTCTGGTAAAATAATTTGAGCACAATTTTTTAATGTTGTTAGTGCATAGAAGTTAAATTAAAATTTAAAAAAAAAAAAACAAAGATGAGAGGATTTATTATTTACCCGAAGGAATGGGACTATTTGCTTGTGGGCTGCTAGCAATGCTACTTGAACCATTACTTATTTGATAGAACACTTGAGCATCTGGTGAATTTGGTGGCAAGTGGAGAAGAGCTGCATATCATTCCAAATTGTCAATTATCGCATAAATGTGTTAAGAATTAACTCTTTTCAGTTTTCAGAAACAAATAATTAAAAAAATTATTTTGAAAACTATTACTTCCCCTGTTAAAAAAGAATGAAGGAGTTCAAAGTACAAGGATCAAATTGGATATAGATTTCTTTAGTGTACTTACCAGGGCATTGAGAAATGTTAGCAGGTGCTTGACAAACAGAAGGTAGGCTTAAAGCAAGTGTAACATTGAGATTAAGTCCTAAATCAGGATCATTTCTGTCCTTTATTAGCAAACAAAGGCATTTTTTGCTGGCTTTCAACACTTGTTTCAAGCCAGTGCAGCAATCTGGTGTAGGAGCTGGTGCATTAGCTGTAACATAAGGCAAACATGTTGCTAAACCAATCAATGATTGTGTACATTCTTCTTTGTCCTTTTCAGTGTCTGAATTTGCAAATACACACAACATGAAAACCAGCATCAATGTGAACTGATATTTCATGTTGCAAGAAGACATTTTGAAATGTTGCTAAAGGGAACTGAGGTATCTTGAATCCTTTTTTGCCTTTTGCTATTTCAAATAGTGCGCAGATAAGGAGAAATATAGACATTCCCTTTAGCCCTTCATCTTAGCTTATATATATTGAACAAACTACCCCTAGAAACAAACAATAAAAATAGCCAGGTGTTTGGATGAAGATTAAGGAAATAGTACTCAAATCTTTTGTAGTGGTTGAAAAGTGTTCACATAACTTTTTAAAACCTTTTCTCTTTTGTCTCCAAGAAATATTGCTGGCTTTTTTATGGAAAATTCCAAGAACCACTAAGTAGAAGAACTGAAAAAGTTGTCAAGAAACAAGAAGCTATATTTTTTTCTTCAATATTTGAGGATGGGAAAGTAGGTAGATACACAAAGTGGGCCACTTTACCAACCCACTATAGGATGTGAACCAGTGAAACTTGGACCACTCCTTCATACTTAGCTGATTTTTTGAAGTTCCTTTTCGTGGTGTTATCATTGGTTTGTCTGGGCTCAGTTTAGCCATGACATCATATGAGCATGCTTATGATGTAAACTTCAACTCATTTTGTGGATCAAATTAAATTAGGTAATTAACTTGTTAAATCGTGTAGAATCCGCAGTGAAAATAGCACGGGCTAGCCAGTTTTCGGACTGGTAATTGAAAAATAGCATGCGTTTGCAAAGTCATTGAAAAATAGCCACTATTTTGCTACAACACGAAAGTTCCAGCATAATATACTGGAGATTGGTGCACCTGTGTATGAACTTCCAGCATATTATGCTGGAACTCCAACACACGAAAAATTCCAGCATAAATATACTGGAGATTGGTGCACCTGTGTATGAACTTCCAGCATATTATGCTGGAACTCCAACACACGGAAAATTCCATCATAAATATACTGGAGATTGGTGCACCTGTGTATGAACTTCCAGCATATTATGCTGGAACTCCAACACACGGAAAATTCCAGCATAAATATACTAGAGATTGGAACATCTGTGTATGAACTTCCAGCATATTATGCTAAAACAATATATTATATTGGAAGTCCAGTATATTATACTGGAACTCGAGTATATTATGCTGGAATATTTTCTAGATTTTGGACAGTGTTTTCGTTTAGATTTATCTTCATATAAAAAGTAGTTATATTTCAATTATTTTTAAAACTGTGGCTATTTTTCAATTACCACTTATAAATCTGGCTATTTTTGAATTTCACATGAATATGTAGTACATTGCAAAAGTAGAGGCCGGGCTTTTTCACTTGTTTCGATAGCAGAGACAATGTCACGATCCAAGCCCATCTGGTGAAGAATTGTTCGTTCTGGCTCAACCTTTGGGGTATTAGGATTTTATTTATTTTTTTGGGCTTTATCCTAACAAATGATGAGATTTTTACCTAGTTATTATTATATTAGAAATTTATTTACCTGTGTTATCTATGTTTTGTATATTTTAATAAATATTTATGTTTTTCTTACAAATTACATATATTGCTCCTTAAAAGGCTCACACCCCTTCAATAAGGAATTTAATTACATCCTTTCCTTTTTTTTCCCTTTCCTCTTCTCTCTCTATGTTTTACATCAAAATTTCTTAATCTACGCCAAGAATCACCATCTTCTCTCTTCCCACCATTGCTGACAACTTTATTTTATTAAAAAATCGTCAATTGTATCGTTCTTCTACCAGGAGACTGGACAACACTGAAAACGAAGAAATATTCAGGAATTTTATGATAATTGTATGACAACTATATGATAACTGTATTTGAATTGTATCAGATACATCAATCCTAAAATATAATTGCATCATACTTGTATCATAATTATATGTAACTTGTATCGGGTACATCAATACACAAAATAATACTTGATACAATACTAATAAGTTAATATACAATTATCATATATTTGTGATACAAACTGTGAAATTTGTCACGAACTCACAACTGCTCGTAATAATATACAATTAATATACAATTATCATACATTTGTAATACAATTTCTGCAACAATTATGATACATATACAATTATAATACAATTACGATATATTTTTGAAAAATTGGATACAATTATGATCTTCATCTTCTTCAAGTTGAATCACAACTCTACTAAAAATCTAATATAACCGTATTATAGTTATATTAGTATTGTATCGATTATTATTTTGGGTATTGCTGTATCATATACAAGTCACACACAATAAAGATTTTAGAAAGAAAGAAAACAAGATTCAAAACTTACTCACAACTTTATTCTAGAGCAATATTTCGAATTTCGTCGGCATTGTATCAATAAGAAATAGAGATTTTTGGTGATTAGTAAGAAAGAGAGACATTAGGTTTGAAAATCTTTGGAAAAGGAAAAGAATCGGAAATTTAGGGGGGGGGGGGGAGGGGGAGGGTGGTAATAAAAGAGAGATTTTGGGTGATTATTAAGAAAGAAAGAAAAAAATAACAGAACCTTAAATGTAAGGGACGATTATTGGAAATGAGGGGTTAGTGTCATGTAACTGACATGCTAAAATTAAGGGATCTTGAATTTTTCTCTTTTTTATGGTTTTGTATATAACTTGTAAATATAGCTATACAAAGTAATTAATAAGAAAACTAAATAAAAGTGATAAAAATATTTCTATTATAGCATAGCTAGGTAAAAATCCCTTAAAAGATATCATCGGGCCCTACTCATTTGACATGGTGATAAAAGTATTACTAAATCGAAGAGGCATAGTAATACCGTATAAAAATCCAAGATACGAAGTTGTTTTTAGGCTTATAATATTAGTTGAAGAAGAGGTAACACCATTTTAAATTTATATTCTATTCTTTACTTATTTACATGCCTTTATAAATAACATCAATTGCTAGTTAATCTTCAATATGAGACAATAACCGAGCGATGCTTTTAAATAATCATGTCAAAAAGTGGAAGAACTTCTTTAAAGCAAATAAGAGTTACTATTTTATGAATAGTCGATTAGATCATGTTAACTCCAACTACTCTTTAGTGGACAAGGACATGGAATGACAACAACACCATTGTAAGGAATCCGAGAACGTAACTCCCACCCAAATAATTCAAACGATTTTGTATCATCTGAAGAGTCGAAAAACTTTAGTGACCGTATCATCTTTTGTAACGATCCGACTGGTCGTTATGCTTTTTAGGTTCCTGTTTCCCTAATTAAGACTCCCTGTATATGGCTTTACTGTTTTATGACTTGTAGGGGTGGTTGACTTGGGTTTGGAAGGGTCCGGATTGAAATCGAAACACTTGGTTCCTTAATTGTGGCCTAAGATGGCCAAGTTTGACTTGAGTCAACACTTTTAGTAAACGAACTTGGAAGCGAAATTTGACGGTTCTAATAGATTTTCGTATGATGATTTTCGACTTGGGCATGTGTTCGGATCGGGTTTCGGATGATCCGGGAGCGTTTCGGCGCTTAATGTTGAAAGTTGGTGCATTGAAGGTTTTCAAGTTCTTTAAATTTGGTTTGGAGTAGACTTTAGTGTTATCGAAGTCCGTTTGGGATTTCAAGCATGGAAATAGTTTCGTACAGTGATTTATGACTTGTACGCAAAATTTGGTGTCATTGCGAGTAGTCTGAGTATGAATTGGTGCGTTCGGAGTAAGTTGAAAAGGTTGACGTTCATAATTTGATTCAATTTGGTTTTGGGGTGCGGTTCTTAGTTTTGATGTTGTTTTACGCGTTCCGATGGTTCGAGCAGGTCCGTATTATCTTTATGGACTTGTTGTTGCAGTTGGACGGGGTCTCGGGTGGCTCCGGTGTATTTCGAACCCCTGGAGCTAAGTCCAAAACTGCTACACTTGCTGATTTTGGTTTCCTTCTTCACGAACACAGAGATTGCCTCGCGTTCGCGATGAAGGAATGTGGCTAGGGGAGGTTTTGGTCTACGCGTTCGCTAAGAGGAGCTTGCGAGCGCGATGCTCTGGGCCACTATTCTTCGTGTTCGCATACTTGTGTCCGCGTTCGCATAGAAGAAGTTGGGCTGGGGGGTTGCTGGCCAATTGCCCTTCGCGTTCACGAAGGTAGGGCTACGTTCGCGAAGCATTGGTCAGACAAGACTTCGCGATCGCGGGTCCTCTTTTGCGTTCGCGACGTGTATTTTCTGGGGCCTGGGCAGTTTGCCTTCGCGATCGCGTGGCCTCTTCCCTGATCGTGAAGAAGGAATGCCTGGGCAGAGACTTGTTTTTGAAAAATGGGACTTAGGCCATTTTCTCTTGGAAGGGGTTTTTCATTTAAAATCATAAATTAAGTAATCCCTAGCTAATGTGAGTTTAATACATAGATTATGGGTAGATTTTAACATGTAAATTGTGAAAAATTATATGATTTAGTTGAAAAGCCTAGGTTTTGATAAAAATAGGATAAGACCACGAAAATGATTATGAAATTGAGTAAAATTTATATATTTGGGTTCGTGAGGTTATGGGTAACTTTTATTTACAAAAATTTTTGGAATCCGGGCATGTGGGCCTGGGGTGAATTTTAGGAATCTCCCAATTTGGGTTGGGTAATTACTCTAATAGTTAAATTATAAATTTTTGAGCATATATTGATTAATTTATATAATACTTGGCTAGTTTCGGATTGCGTGGCATAGATTTTAGGCTTTAGTGTGAATTGTGGACCGGAAAGAGAACTTGAAAATGAGGTAAGTCTCTTGCCTAACCTTCTAAGAGGGAATTTTCCCCATTGGTGCTATATATGGGTGCTACGTGCGTACAATGTGATGAGAGTCTGCATCTAGCTAAAAAAGTCATGCTTATGTCCGGGTAGTTTTAGGACTTTAATATTATTACTTGTATTATTTGCACTCAACTTGTTAGTTTAATTACTTAAATTATATTTTATATTGGAAAGGATATGTAAAGACTAAGCTTCATTACTTTCAGTTTTAGCGGGTTACTAGACTGTTAATGAAAATTATGCCTCCTTGTGTATTATTCTTGTAGTAGCCGTTAATCGGAGTTTTGTAGAGTATTCTTTCTTCCTTTGGATCGGACCGAATGCCTCGTGGTATAATAAATGCATCTATGGTTTGCGCTGGTCAACCTTCGGCAGTGTACGCGATATTTTGGATCGGACCGTACGACCACGGCATAAATCGTGCGTGATATTGCTTGGAGTCCGACCATACTTGATATTTCTTCCATGACTAGGGAATTTATAATTACTTGATGGCTCTTATTTGTTGAAAATAGTATGTGATAGTTGGAGATTTTAATTTATATTTAGCTAAACAACCACTTATTTATTGTTCATT